GCAAAAATTTGACAAAAAAAGTATATAGTGTTTCTAGTAATTTACTCAATTTTTAAACATGGAATCTCAATATTTTTAATTTATTTACAAATAATAAGCATATTGAAGAAGCAGCTCATTGGATTATGGTAGAACAAACAAGCCAGCTTAATGAATATTTAGGGGAATATTTAGAAAATTTAAAGAAGATTGAAGAAACGTCGCAAGATTCCAAAAAATTACCTCAGAGTTATTCAAAATTATAAATTGTAAATATTTTAAACTATTTTTTTTGAATTTATAATTTGGTATATGGATTTAATTTTTCAATAATTATTTAATATAGACGAGTCAAAATTGTCCTGATGGAAATAATTTCTTGGTCTTCTAATAATATATTTTATCATAAAGGATATTTAGCTAATTTGAATGTATAAATTAGGGTTTATTTAAAAGCATAATTTTTAGTATAAAGCTACTGTAGCACCTCAATCAAATACCTGGGTATTTTATAATTTGTATCTAAGATATATATGATATAATTTGAACATAGTTATATTAGTTTACAGCATAATATCTGATGAAAATCTTAAACACATTTTATAGTTCCCGGGTCTTTTATACGCAGCTCTTTGATAGTCCATATAGATTGTCATAGAACTCATTATAATCAATAGAACCGTTTAATTCAGGTTGGTTATTCAATTGGTTATAACAATTACAGTATCATATTTGATAATTTATGCAAAAAACCTTAAAAATATAAAAATTTGTGTTCATTTACTAGTTTATGAACTTTGTCTTTAAATCTTCAATCAATAAAATGTCCTGAAAAGTATGGAAACTTTATTATCGAATATTATCGAATATTACTTGTCTAATTATTTACTTTGATTTTTTCACTAAATTACAATTTAAAAGAATTTCTTAAAGAATTGAAATAATTTCGATAACATTGATTATTGCCTTAATTACAGAAATACATGATTGATTATCATAGAATCGGATTGATAATGATGTGTGTTATTTTATCAAACTCAACTGCTTATATTTTTTTCTTGGTGTATTTACCCAAAAATAATATTCTCTTTCCTCTAACAATCGTTTCCAGAAGCCACGAAATAGGTAATATTAGTTTATGAAATTGTAATATACCTTAATAAACAAAAAATACTTAAAGTTTGATGGTTTATTACTAAAAGTAGGAACTCGAATCTTGAAAACAATATGATGTTCACGACTCTTAGCTGTGTTGACAGATACCGAAGTTCCACTATTCTATCAGGATAGTGAATCAGATAATGAGGATGATAGAGAGAACGAATTATTTTGAAGGTTGTGATAATTTCGGGTGGATTTACCCAAATTTTGATTTTTTTTTTTTTTTTTTTAAGGACATATTCTTGCTGACTTCATCGAGCTTAAGATTGATCGTTAGATGCAAATACGTAGTATGAACTTTATTGTTATTATTAAAACAACACTGTTCTTTCTGCTTCTTCAAATTCGATAAAAAAAAATTAATTTTTATTTAGATGTTACTAATAACTTATAATTATATAACTGCTATATGAGGACTGTCAAAGGAAAACCTGTAATAAATACATGTTTAAGTTTTCACTGTACCGGGTTTAACCCCATCTTGTAATATGACTATGTAATTGAAGCAGATTAAGATCAGTATTCTAGTCGTTTGATTAGAACACTGTTCTACGGTGATTAAATTATAATTTTTCAAAGGCTCGGTATGGTAAAATTTTAAATTTATGCTTACAGATTTTCCTTTGGCAGCAATCATATATACAAATTGTTAAGTGACTGATCCATGTTGTAGCATATTCAGATTTCATTATGATAGTAAAATGGTTTAAGGAATAATATTATAATTTGAATTACATAATAATCCTAACATTGTATTTTACATTAAAATGTGACAAGATAAATCACAGGAAAATATTTGATTATTAAAAATAATTGATTATTCTACGGTCTTTGAATTTTTTGGTTTTTCTTTTTTTGATCAGTCTTTGAATTTGAAATACTTCATATTCTGACACTAAAAATGTGCCAGAAATATCTCTAATTACTTTCTCATATGAACTATATAGGTCATAATAATTATAAACAAATCGTACATCATGATTAAAATTTCGACCCATGCCAAGATCATCACCAAAACATGGACCGTACTTAGAACTACAATAAATTGCACATTCCATATTTTTTGCACGACTTAAAATATAGGAATGAACAGTACCATATTCTAATGAGAAAATAAAGCTACTATTACAAGAAACATAATTATTAATTGATTTATCCCATTTTGTAGGATTGTATCCACCGAGAATTTCATCAGTATCTTTAATCCTCATAACCACAATAGTATTTTCTTGTTTATCACATAAATTCCAAAATGTTTGAGTAGTAAAACCATCCCTAGTTCCACGAAGGAGTAATTTAAATTCATATGGGTTATTTGTTAATGAATACGCTTCAGTTTTCTTATCGACCCATGATGCAATTTCAGCTGCCTGTGCTTCACTAATGATTGTTGAGAATGGTCCTGTTATTCGCGATGATAATTCAGATGTTAAAATCATTCGAGGCGGAAGAATTATTGATGATATTTGTCGATTTGGATTTAAAGCTCTTTTCATTATATCCTTCCAAAGATTTCTTTCTAGAATCATTTGATATGGTTCTAAATTATCAATAATGTCGTCACCAGATATTTGAAAATAACGGATATGAGGTAAACAATGTTGTAATGTAGTTTTTAAAGCTTGAAAGTTCTCTCGAGTCCAGTTTTCAGGATCTGATGATAAGCCTGGATTCTGTGCAATTCCCCATCTGATAACATTTTTCCAAATTTTTACTTCTTCCATCTGTAAATCATCTCGCTTAATAAGAGATATTAAAGCATTTCCTTTAATTGATATAAACTCTTCAGAGTCGAAAATTTTATCTGGATACTTTACTATAAAATCATTGCACCATTTTTGTAATTCTCGAAGTTTACTGTTTTGGAAGCTTGTTTGATAAACATGTGTAAAATGTAAACGAAGCCAATTAGCTTTCTCTTTAATTAAATGAGATTCAAGGGAGTTTGTCAATTCCTCAAGAAGAAGCTCGTTAGCTACGAGTATAAGTTCAAAAATATTGAGATTCCATGTTTAAAAATTGAGTAAATTACTAGAAACACTATATACTTTTTTTGTCAAATTTTTGC